AATTAAAAGTCCTATTTGAAATTAAATCATTCAAAACTATCTATTAAATTTAGATTTCTAAAATCTCAGAGGGGTGTTATGGAAAAAGTTCTTTAAATGAGTGAGGCAAAGTTTCTTAATAATTAGAGAAGATCGATCTTGTCCAATAAAGAGATTTATTAGAAGGAAAGAGCGTTCGAAGACCCAGATCACAGAGTAAACCCAAGGGAAAGGCACGTCCCCTTATATAACATAGTATGGATAAAGGAATGGAAAAAAAGGCCACTGTGTTTCTTATCAGCAACAAACAAAGAGATTCTGATTTACATTCAGTCCTCAGGAAATCCAATGGAGAATCTCCAAAGGGACTGGGCTATGCATATTGCATATTTTCAGGAGACAAGATTCTCCTTTTGACCATGTGGATTGGTCAAAAGGAGAATCTTCTCAGGTGTGAGGATAGCACAAAGGGTAAGTCGTACAATTTCAATGATAAACACAGGAATGGCAGATTCATCCTTGATGGGATTAAGGAAATTGTTGCATTTCCCACTGGTGCTAAAACCACAGTCTCCAGACGTACCAGACGACTCTCCCTAGAGGAATTAACAACCAGGTATCCTTAACAAAGAATCAAAAAATCTCCAGCCCCGCCTCTGGGAACAGCTGTTTCACTCAACACTCAGAAAAAAACAAAACAGAGTTCGCATTGTTTCTCCGGTTTCTTGGCCTTAATGTTTGAAGTCTGTTTGTTTTCCAGCCCGAGCGGATAGACCCCAGCGCGTCCCGGCAGGGATACGACGTGCGCTCGGACGTGTGGAGTCTGGGAATCACACTGGTGAGTTTAACCCCCAAACAGAGCTGCACAGATGTGTAATTTATGTTTATGTTTCTGCATTTGGCAGACGTTTTTATCCAAAGCGACTTACAGAGTAGACACAATACTACCTTTATCATCACTATGATAATAAGCTATATAGTGGAGAAACACTGATCAGAATCAATTTAAACACGAATTATTCGGCTCAGCGTACCCAAATCCAGCTCCAAATCCACACACCAACGTGTTTATTGAGAAGTGTTGCTCGGTACCACAAAACACTGGATCCAAATAATCCCTCCATCCAGATCTGGGCAGAACCAGAACCAGAACCAGATAGAGGGATTATACATACAATCTGACCTGGAGGGATGTCTGGGTTTCCCTCCCTCCCTCCCTCCTTGATGGATGGATGGATGGATGGATGGATGGATGGATGGATGGATGGATGGATGGATGGATGGGTTTCTATTTGATCCTCACATCTTCCACCACAGTGTGTGAAGTACACAATTCAGGTGGTTTTTGGCTGCTCTGAAGAAGACTTAATATTATATATAATATTACTATATAATATTCTCCATCTAAAATCGTATCATATTGATTTATATAAATAAATCACTGTCATATGGATCCTCGGGAGGACGCATATTTGACACTTTTGTCATCTTTGCACAAAGAGTGCTCAAAAGGTTTCTTCAGGAGAGATTTGTCAGCAGAAAGAGCCTCGATGTTAGCCCCAATTCAAGGTGGGAGCTGAAAAAAGCTGCTCATGACAGTTTCATCCAGCAGAGCACAGCCAGAAGACTGTTGTTTTAATAATGAAGTCCTCAGAGAACACAGATCGTACATAAATTAAATAATATTCCTACAATAATGCATCTTTTTGCTGAATAAAAAACATCATTTTTAGGTATTTACAAGATAATTTCAGGAAGATGAAAGCTGTCCTTCGTCTTTGTTTAGTGTCAGAGTGATTTGTGGTCGCTCGGCCTGTGTGACTCAGTGATTTTCTGTTTCAGTATGAGCTGGCCACAGGCCTGTTCCCATACCCGAAGTGGAACAGTGTGTTCGACCAGTTGACCCAGGTGGTGCGAGGAGACCCTCCCCAGCTCAGCAACTCGGAAGAGAGGCGCTTCTCCCCCAAATTCATCTCCTTTGTCAACGTGTGGTAAGAAAATGTGTCGCTAACGGTGGATTTGCTGCCCCCTGGTGGACATTTACCAGACCTACCACGTAAATGCGTCTCTGTCTTTCAGCCTTACCAAGGACGAGTCAAAGAGGCCAAAGTACAAAGAGCTACTGGTGAGTTAGTGCCCACATAAAAAAATCTCAACATCCTGAGATGGTTCTTTTAAATCTATGAGTTTTAAGGATGTTTTTCGTTATTCCAGCGAGACCCGTTCATCCAGATGTACGAGGAGCGCTCGGTGGACGTGGCCGGTTACGTCTGCAGGATCCTGGATCAGATGCCGGCTTCCCCCAGCTCCCCCATGTACATGGACTGACCGCAGGACAATCCACAAATGCACCCGTCAGTCCTCACCTCTCTGCTTCAGCTAAAAGAAAAAAAAGGAAGAAAAAAAAAAAAGAAGCAATGGAAAACAACCCCTCCTGTAAATTTTGCTTGGTCCCCTTATTGCTGTGTTGAGTAAGAATTGTAAAGCCTAAAAGAACCGAACCACTTGCATTAAAAGTGGTGTCCGTTTCAGTCTGTATGATATATTAAGACACTTATGTTTCTCTCTCGTTCGCAAACAGACACTTAGGTAAAATAAAATAAAAAGCAGCTGAATCAATCAACCGTGACTCATTATGATGAGGATGCATCTCAGTGATTAGTAACAAGAAAAAATATCCTGGAACGTGTATTTATAGAAACTAAACCATGTGGAATGTTTGATCTGGAGACTGTTCAGCATCCTGGAATAATCTCTGTGTGAATCGATGCACCTCCTCCCTGTATGAAAGCGTGCGTTTGGTTTGTGAAGGGCGTAAAACAGTCAGTGGTGGTCAGAGTTGTGTTACACCTGCTGTCCAGTCACTGTGCAGTGGATTCCATGCTGATGGCTGAATAAACGGAGAATGAGAAGGAAAACGCCGTGTTCTGTCTCTGTTTTTGTGTTTTAATCTGTGTTTTTAAAGGAAAAAGCTAAGTGGCGTTGAAATATTAAAGCTGTTAGTAAGCCCCTGGTTGGTGACATAACCTGTTAAAGGTTTAAACAGAAGAGGTCCGAACTGTATCTGCTGTAACATTTTAATTAGAGAATTCACTTGAGTCAGCACTTTCACAGTATAAAACAATGATAAAGAAGTGTCAATAAAAAATTGTAAAAGTAAAAAAATAATGTAAATTCTAACAATTCATACATAATGCAAACTAAGTAACAATGTGCAAAACTAAAGCTCAAATTAAACCTAAATTTGAAGTTCTATAGGTCATCATTAATCAACCTGTCATATGTATGGATTTGTGTATTCACGGTTACTTAAAGTAGTTTGTTTAAATGACAATATATTAATTTTTTTTATCAATTTTTTTTCTTCTTTTTGGTCTAAACTAGTCTCAAGTTGTGTTCAGTTTCATTATAATTCCGTAGTTTATTCACAGCCAAACGTGGATTCTAATTGTTTTGGTTTTGTATTTTGGGTATTTTGTGGTAGTTTGTTTACGTTAAACCACTCACACAGCAAAAGTCTTAGCCCCGCCTTCTTTCCTGGGAGCCCATTGCTATTGGCTAACAGACCTGGTAAAGAACACGAGCCACCAATGAGGATCGAGATCGCATTGCGTCATCATTAGATGCCGGAAAAGTGTCACATGTGTCAACTAACCTCGGGTGTCCTGCGGCATGAGCACACGGACACAGTTTGGTAATTAATTTTGTTAAAAAACAACAACAAAAGAAAACAAAAAGACGTTCGGAAATGTTTGCCTCGCGTTTTTTGTGACGTAATTATCGACCGTTAGCTTAAATAGCGCGCGGCGCATTTAGCATGAACTCGGTCCCCGTGAGGCTTTTTGGGTTGCTGGTTTTCAAAGGCAGAGCCGCCTCCGTCCTCCACGCGACCCGCGATTCCCGTTTCCACCGGACTCTTTTCCGGAGTTTCCCCACCATGGCGACCGTTGGCGACGGTTCCCGCGAGGAGAAGAAGAAAGCAAAGCAGAAGGAGCCATTACGCCGGTTGAAGACCAAAGAGAGCCGCGGCCGGAGGGGGGACGCGCACGGACCGGCCACCGTTTACCTGCAGGTGGTGGGGGCGGGAAGCAGGGACAGTCCCGCCACGATATACGTTTTCTCCGAGTTCAACAGGTACGAGGCCACCCGGAAGGGGGGGCCGGTGACCTTTGACCCCTGTGTGGTGTTCCAATTAATTTTTCAAATAAGGGTGTAGGAATTTACAAATCAGAATCAGAAATACTTTAAAAATCTCAGAGGGTAATACTTTTTGTTACTAACTCCAGAATAAAACAACAGCATATACATATATATTCATGTCTATATATATATATAGCCAACATGCACTTTTAACATGCATGTTTTAAATTAGAATTTAGTATCTAATATTCTAGTGCTTTTTAGTACTTTTTATCCCCTATTAATGTTGATCTGGTAGTTGTGTTAATTTAGTATTCTAGTGATTTTGTAAGATACTGTGTGAACTGTAGTGTATGTTGTGTGTAATCTATCTATCTATCTATCTATCTATCTATCTATCTATCTATCTATCTATCTACACATCTACACAATTCCACACAGTCTTAAAGTTACAAGCATCATTTGTGAATGTGTGAGATCTTTTTATTC